GGACTACATAAAATCCACTACGTTATTCTAATCAACAGCTGGTTTTTATAAACACTAAAATATTCCTCTTAGCAATATTTCTATCACACCAGGAGTTGACAAATTTTTGAAGTACTGAGAAATCTTTCATTAATATTTACATGTATAAAGCACAATCATAAAAATTTATATTAATAATGAAATCTCAAGACCAGATTGAGAATACAAAAACTGTACATATGTTGTTGTTGTATGTGGTGGTGGTACAAATGACATGCACAAATGTAGTTGCACTCGCATACAAATGAGTTCAGAGGTTATGCTTTTCATCTACATTTACAATAATTATCTTTATAATATTTCATATTAGAAATTCATCCAAAAGATATTACAAATAGAAGCAAGATGACAAACTTTGATGATCCCTTCACATTAAGGTATTGACAGATAGCAAGTTTTTAGATAGAATATTAGACAGAATATTTTGTCAGTAATTTTTATGGATTGCATTTTGACATAGCTGTACATGTACATGAGTGGATTTTGATTTATGATTTTCAGCACATTGAACCAACAGTTTTACTCCCCTTTCGACTGGATGCCAGTTTCTCAACCCTGAAAGCTACAAGCTTGGCAAGTGGGTAGTATGTCACTATTGTTTTTAATGTTGAGTTGACTAACCTCTTACAGCACTGTGCAGAGTAATCTGCCGAATTATATCTTATGTTACCAGTGATTTTTTTAAACAAGGGTACAAGCGGCGCAGCGCCCTCATGCCATGGCCATGCGCCCACTTACCCTGGGGAGCAGATCCTCTGGCAACCTAAAAATTCTGTGGCCACAGTCGTCAAATGTGACCTGTCTGATAGTAATTTTGGCCTCAAGGAAGCCATGGATACTCCATTTAACTTAGAATTATCAAAAGCTCCACACCGTAGGGAGAACCCTATCTCCCCCACTGAATTGCAGTGCTCGCTCTTGCGGTTTTTTTCTAGAAAAAACCCTGGTTACTATAAAATACTTTTTTTCAGCTGGAATTAATTTTTCACTGAATAGAAATTTTGGCTGATCTGTATGAAGTTTATTTACAATGATTTTTAATGAGTTGAATGTAAATTATATAAGAAGGGTATTTTCTCTGAATTTTATTTTTACGATTTATACCTTCAGAAATATAGTGAAAATAAAATCCAAGTGAAAATAAAGTATTTCACGGTAGTAACATTGGTAAATAAAACAATGAGTATTAAAAGTTGAAATTACTGATGACACTGGTACTCCCTTCAAAAAAAGTTTTTACGAAAAGCTAAGGTCAGATGTTGGACAACTTGGGTAAGTTACACCCAGACTATATTATATGTTCACTTATTTTAATAATATACATGTATATATATCTAATCATCTAATTTTTCTTTATATACCAAAACAATGAAACATTTCATGGGTAAGTCTTTCTTTTTGCAAACATGTCATCAAATCTCAGCAAAAATTTGATAAGCCTTACTGAGGATAATTATTTTTTTTAAATTCGTGAACAATTTTGAATTCTAAATATGTCACAGCACATAGAAAAAAATCCATTTTTATCTACACAAAATTTGGGTTTTACATATTTTGGTTTGCCATGTGACAATACCTATCATCTGTCTGTTACAGACATGTATGTGTTAATATTTACATGAAACATTATTTTACCCAGGATGCACTTTGCTACCCTACAATACTGTGGAATACTTTATTTTCGCTGAAGGAATGATTCAGTGAAAATAAAATCCAGCGAATATACCGATACCTTTTTTCCTATATTTTACATTCAACTTTCAAAAAAAAAAGTGAAAATAAATTCCATATAACACACCTAAAAAGTCTTTTCAGCAAAAATTAATTCCAGCGAAAATTATTAAGTATTTCACAGTAGTTCAAAAATAATCAAGACATTTTAGCTTTAGATAAGTCTGTCATGGTTGTAATGAACATTAACCCTTGAATGACAATCATTTTTTTAGATAATTTTGCATTTTTTTACAATAATTATTTTGTGAATTTTGGTCAATATTGGTCTAGCTCTTGATCAATATCTTTCCAAAAATTATGCAGAAAAAATAAGTATTTGGGATTTATGAATGATAAAATGTGATGTACGTATATGTTACAGAAGATTAAAACTGACCATGCAAATTGAAGAGTTTCCCTCGAGATCAGGAAAATCCATTTTGAATTCTAAATTAAAACTAGACTATAAATTTTTTTTCTCACGACTTACTGATTCTTGAGAAGAAATTGACAAGATTGGCTCTTCATCTTCTATCAAAGAGACTAGATTTTCTTCTGGAAACCAAACTTGATGTTTTGCTTTCATCTTTCATAGCTATGCGGCTTAAAAGTAATCATTGTTTTAAGACAGCCAGCATATCATTATCAGTGCAGTCTACCTAATTTACTGAACAAGTGACGTCTAGATCGAGTAAGGGAACTTCAATAAAGTTGGATATCTTTTTTCCCTGACAACATTTTGGAATATTTATTTTCAAAATGTTTTCTGCAATTCTGCACCGAAGAAACAGAATTTAGCAATGCACATAAGTTTTAAAGATTTTGTTAACATTTTGGTTTTAACAAGTAATCTTCAATCTTTATCTCCAAATATTTTGTGCAACATTTTGCAGATTTTTCTGTATTTTTTCTATAATTCCTTTGTTAATATTATACCAAATAGATATAAATTTCCATTTTCTATAGGTCTTGATCTTTTTTAAGGAAAGATATGGAAAAAATAGGCATGTTACTCCGGTATTTTGTGAAAGACTCTAATAGTCGGCTTTAGTTGTTCAAAAGGTTAAGGTGGTGAATGAAGAAAAAATTAATATATTTTTCAATTTTATCAAATTGAAACCAGTCAAAGTTGCATATCCTTATTTTCATAAATACTTGATTACAACAACTACAAATTAAAAATTGACTTTTAAAATTTAAATTGTATTAAAAAAACAGACAATTTGAATTTAATTCTAAGATTAAATTCTAGAAATATGATATAAAGTTATAAAAAAAAGCCCAATCATATTTTTTTCTTCAATAAAATTCAACTGTGAATACATATAACACTCAACAATCAGAAAGTGATATTTTGAGATGATCCCTCATTTAACTGCGCAATAAGAATTCTCTATTAGGCCTGTTCTGCTGATGTGCCTATGATTACTGAATGTCATCAATATTCATTTGCGTTTTCCATTTAACAAACTATTTATATCACAATTATTGTTTATTTGTATAACCTGACATTCTATTTTCCTTTTAATTAACCTTTTCACCACCAGTTTCCTCTTTTCATCACAAGTTCACAAAATAGTTATGTTTATAGCACTTTCCTTCAGAAGTACGGGACAAATATAATTTTTTAAGTGAAAACTGATAATTTGGCTCAAATTTGTTTCTGTTAAAATTAGTTATTAGAAATATTGATGAAAATTAGCAAAATCGTGCAGAAAAATTTTCCTGCTAAAATTTTGCTGCAGCATTTTGCTAATTTTCATGCATTTTCCTTTATTATGCTGTTAATTTTGGATCAAATAGACAAATTTTGTTACTGACTACAGGACTTCATTGACTACAGGTTGTCGCGCCGTGCATGTGGAACATTTGTGTAGAAAAGGCCATACTTTTATTATCCCTTGTTTCGCGAACCCGTCGAATGAACAGGAGCAGAAAATGAAATAAAAATAAAATTTCAGCGTAATTTCTCGCGCCCGCCCACCTGCTAAAAAAAATATTTTTATCTTCATTTTTTTTCAGCTCACTGCATAACAAGCCCAAATTGCATTTTCCTGGGAGTATCATGATCAAAGTACCGAAGTCTCACGCAGATGAGAAACAAGGTTATACATGGAATAAAATTTTATTTCATTTCTTCTTTCCG